CACTGCACTCCAGTCTGGGCGACAGAGTGAGACTCCAACTCAAAAAAAAAAGAAAAAAAAAGAGATGAGGTCTTGCCAAGTTGCCCAGGTGGGTCTTGAACCCGCAGGCTCAGGCAATTCACTCACCTCGGCCTCCCAAAGCGCAGGATTACAGGCTGAGCCACCGAGCCCAGCCCAAACAGAATGTTTTAAGTGCTGAAGTAGAGAGAGATGCTATAGGAGGTAGTTACCATGTGGAACAGCCTACTGGAATCAAGTCTAAGGGAAGAGTAAGAGTTTTGCATGTGGTGGAAAGAGACAGAAACTCACAGAAGCAGAGAACAGCTCTGTGTGCTTGGAGAATGGCAAGTAGCCTATGCCTGGAGCAGACTTGAAGGTAGGAGCTAGAATCAAAGGCAAGCAAGGCTGAGGACCCTGGATGCCTGGCCTGGGTGTGGAGACTGGGGATCCCCTGGGGTGCTGGGCAAGAAAGATCAATGGTTACCTGTAAGTTCCTGTAGTGGACAGCACTACGACAGTGGCTCATCTTTGCTGTCTCCTCGCTCGTGTAGAAAAGCCCACACAGCTTGCAATAAAACCCAGTCCTGGGAACCACGAACTCCACGCCTGGGAAAGGATGGAGAATGGACAGGCAGGCATCAGGAAGGCATGGGAGGCCCCTATGGTCCTAACAGCCATCAAGTGGAAGTGGGAGTAATGAGCTCCACTCCCTCTTGCTGTTGACTTTGGTTGGTGACCTAGCCTCTCCAAGTCTCAGTTTCCTCATTTGTAAAACAGTCACAAAGAGACTAGTACCTACTTCCTTCAAGGGTGGTTGTGAATGTAAGAGATGTGCTCCATGTGGTGTGGTATGTAGCAATTATATGATCTACAACTGCCCTTTGGAAATCTAGATTCAGGCTCTCCTACTATCATCCTGCTTCCAGGAAAAGAATAGAGAAGGTGATTTCTGATATTTCTGACATTTTACTTGTTGTATTTCATTTCTCCACACCGTACCTCTCTCTGCAGCTGTTGTGACCAGGACTTTGGAAGAATTCTGTCATTTTTATTTGTTTATTCTAGAATTAGGTTCATTTAAATAAAATTTTAAAATAAATAAAAGTGATGAAAAAACATCACCCAGAGTTCTCCTCCTGCCTCCTAGTACACCAAGCTAAGTCTAGGAGACCCTGTCAATCCAAGTATTTTCTTCTGCACAGTCTCTATCTATAGGTAGGGACCTTTTTGGGGGGGAAGTTTTAATCATATCCTAGACACAAATCTGTACCCTCCTTTTTCATGTAACTGTATATGATAAATGTTTTCTCACCTTCCTCCAGTCTTTACATTTGAACCATCAATTAATAGCATTTCATTTGAGATGTTTAAATATAAGTTCCAGAAATCTGGGAGGCCTTTTGATTCCAAGGAAGGAAACAATGGCCTTGCAGCCATATGGGCAGGGGCCTCATCTTTTAAGGGACAGTGGCTGCTCCACCTTCCATGAAGGGGGGGGGGGGTCACGGTTCTCCTCCTAAAGACACAGTCGGTCAGCAAGGTGGAAAGAGCCCAGGCCTGAGAGGTCTGGGCCAGATGCTAAGAAAGTACGTAACCTGGAGAGAGTCCGCTGAACCATTCCTGGGCCTAGTTACCTCACTTGAAGACGGAGTTACAGAGAACACATCCCTGCTTCCCAGGCACCTGAGTGGGAAGCTCCAGCCAAGAAGCAGTGGTGTGAGGGCTGTGAAAAGCAGGGCCCATCGTGGAGCTGAGCAAAAGGGATGATGCTTAGAAAGCCCAGATCTCACTTGCAGCCCAGGGTCATTTTCTGAGTGTGAGTAGGAACAATGCAGCTAGGCTTGGCTTAGCTACTTCCCTCTTCTCTGCTGGGGGTGGGCTGTGGTCAGAGAGCTGGCCACACTGGGCAAAAGAGAGAGAGGGTGCCTGGGAGCAGCACAGGCAGGGGAACGGGCAAGGCCTCCACCAACAACAGCGCCTGCTCCAAGGCGCTGCACGACTGACCACAAGTCCGGCTCCTTCTCTTCCTTCACTCATCTCCTCTTGGCTCCCAGTACACCAAGCTAAGTCTAGGAGACCCTGTCATAGTGAAGCAGCCTAGACTTATAATTATAACTTTTTTTTCCATTTCAAAGTAGCCACTTGTCAGTGTGAAGTGCCATTCTGAGGGAGGGAGTTTAGGAGACCTGCCCTGACTGATTGCTGGGCTGTGGTGGCCAGTTCTCCCCTCACTTCAAAAACAGGCTGTGGCTCCTGGCTGTTGCTGGCAAAGGCACATTCAGCAAGGCCTGCCTCCTTCCTCTGTGGCCACAAAATAGCAATACAGGAGAGAGGCAACTGGGAAAGGAGAAACCCACTGGAGGGCTTTGATCAGAGCCATACCCTCGGTCCCATCCCAGATCCTGCAGGATTGGCCAACTGGGTGGTAACAGGGAAGAAGGCCCAGTAGTTTTCACTAAAAACCCCAGCTGAGGTCTCCCAACCCCTATCTTGGGATCCCCAACAGGGGTACAGCTGCCCCAGAAGTTGCCACAGAGCCTGAAGCAGGGACTGAGCTGGCAGCCATGGCCCCTCTCAACCAAAGTGGTATAGCTACCAGCCCAAACAGCTGGCCACTCATCCCAGAATAAATGGGGGCTGCTGCGGCCACCACAATGCCCACACCACAATGCAGGACATCTCTGGAATGTGAGAGGGATGTGAAGCGGCAACATCAAGAAACACTGTCATAGCCCTGACATGTTCTGAAGCCACTGGGTCCTCTCATTCTTCAGTCTCTATTATGATCATTAAAGATGCATTTGCTATCTAATAATAGCTCAAGGCATGGGTAATTATAACTCCATCATTCTAGTAAAGCCTGAGTAGATAGAGGAGGGAGCTTGTGCTCTGCAGCCGACACTGTTTGGTTCGGGTAAGAGCACGTCTTGGCAGGTTCATACTGGTCAGGGCCACAGAGAGCTGGCACACAAAGCTGGCCTTGATCTCAAGGGCAGTGCCTTTCCCCCAACCATGCCCACTCCTAGTCTCTGGGACTGGCCTCCCTTTCTTCCCAATAGGGTATCCATCTGAGTCACTCCTCATCTTGCCTCCCCCTGCTCTCCACAGGGACAAAGCCTAAAAATTGCCTCTCGCCCCACTGAAAGTGACCAGTCCTGGAGGAAGAAGGGTTATGCATTCCCAGTGAGAGGACGCACAGTAGGTCTCCATAAATATTTCATCAATGAACAATAACAACAGACAGCCTGTATTAAGTACCTCCTACTGGAAGACACTAATATCTTACAAGTATTTGTTCATTTAATCCTTAAAACAACTCTACTTGTAGGCTTCTATTATAATCCCTGATTTGTAGATGAAGAAATTCAAGCAGAGAGGTTAAATAAGTTGCTCTTTATCACCCAACCAGCCAGTAGTAGAGAGGGGATTGAAACTCAGGGAATCAGATTCTACAGTCTTGCTCTTAACTTCTGCACAAAAATGGGCTTTCCTATGCTATCCTGCTGCCTGAGCTGAAGCAACAAGAGAACAGAAGTGTCTGAGATCCAAAGTTCTGAGTTCTAGCATGAACTTGCTGTGTCATCTTGGGTAAGTCTCTGGATTTCAGTTTCCTCACCTATCAAATTCAGAAACTAGTACCATACTCCTCTCCAGGGGACCAATGAGATAACAGGTCTCAAAGCTAACTGAAACCTATAAACAAGTACAATTTGTGAAGGTTGAGAAAAGAAAACAACCCAAATGTCTATTAACCGGACATTTGATATTGGTATGAATACCCAGAATGTAGTGTATCCATATCTACAATGCAACACTCCTCAACAATAAAAAGAAACAAAACATGCACCCCAAAATACAGATGAATCTCAATTTTGCTGAGTGAAAGAAGCAAGCAAAACTCATACATACCATATGATTCCTTTTATATAAAACTCTAGAAAATCCAAACTAATATTCAGTGACAGAAAGATCAGTGGTTCCCTAGGGTTGAGCGGTGGGGTGGGGGGAGGGATTACAAAGGAGACTGAGGAAATTTGGTGTGTGATGAACATGTTCACATCTTGATTGTAGTGATTGTCTCACAGCCATATGCATAGGTCAAAATGATTAAACTGTATACTTTAAGTATGTGCATTTCATCATTTCATTGTACACCCTATAAACCTCAATATAGCTGTTTCAAGGAATAAACAGAAGAGATACTATTTTTTTCCTTACTTGTTGGAAAAGATTAGAAACTAGTAACATCCAAGGTTGGCCAGGAGGTGAAGAATGAAAACTCTCACTCCAGGTAGCAGTGAAAACTGGTATCTTTTCTGAGTGCAGTTTAGTAGCAATTAATGTAAATTTAAAATGCAAATACATATGACCGCACAACCCCCATGACCCTCCACTAGGATGCTGTCCTACAGAAACATTGGCAGTCACACAAAGGTAACTGAACAAGCACATTTGGAAGGCTGCAGAAGATAGGAGATAAGAACATGGCTCTAAAGTGAGACTACTGGGGTTCAAATCCTGACTCTGGTCTTTCTCAGTCATTAGCTTTGTGATTCTGCATCCATCTCAGATTTCTTATCTGTAATAAACGAATAAAAATAGCTCCTACCTCACAGATGTTTTAAGATGGTTAAATGAGATAATAAATGCAAAGCACTAGGAATGTTGCCTACATGGTGAATGTTAACAATAAAAGCTTAGCTATTATAGCATTTTCATAAAGGAAAAAAAAAATAGAAGACAAGCTAAATGTTCACCAGTAGAGGAAAAGATCAGTAATTTATGGCATAGCTTTTAGGATGGAACATTTGCAGTGGTTAAAAAGAATGCATTCCCAAACCGGGCTTGGTGGCTCAGCCTGAAATCCCGCGCTTTGGGAGGTTGAGGTGAGTGGATTACCTGAGCCCGCGGGTTCGAGACCCTCCTGGGCAACTTGGCGAGACCTCATCTCTACAGTAAATCAAAACATCAGCCGGCCGTGGTAGCGTGTGACTGTAATTCTGGCTACTTGGAAGGCTGAGGCAGAAGGATCGCCCAAGCCCGGCAGGTCGAGGTTGCAGTGGCCGGGAGTGGCTACTGCACTTCAGTCTGAATGACATTTTCTATATACTGACATAAAGAGATCTCTAAGACCCCATTATTAAGTGAAAAAGCAAACTGCAGACCATTATGTGTATAGTGTGATCCTATTTTTGTGGGAGAAAAACTATCTGTGAGCATGACAGTAGTAGGCTGCCTCTGGAGGGTGGGGAGAGACTGGAGGGAAAAGATAATAAGACCTTTAATGCTGACTTTCTTATTTTTGAATGTGTTACAAAAATCCTCACACTTTCTGTCATGAAAAACTAGAATAAAAAGATACAAATTATAAGATAGCAGCATTTTCTTCTTTGTTTTTTTTTTGAGTTGGAGTCTCACTCTGTCACCTAGACTGGAGTGCAGTGGCCGCTCCCGGCCACCGCAGCCTCGACCTGCTGGGCTCCGGCGATCCTTCCGCCTCAGCCTTCCAAGTAACTGGAACTACCGGCGCGCGCTACCACGCCTGGCTAATTTTTGATTTATTGTAGAGATGAGGTCTCACCAAGTTGCCCAGGCAGGTCTCGAACCCACGGGCTCAGGCAATTCAAAGTGCTGGGATTACAGGCTGAGCCACCGAGCCCGGCCTGCCATTTTTTTTTCTTAATTTTCGCTGATGTTAAGTAGGTTCCAAGTTCTTAGATGACAAGACACTTGTTTGTGTTATATATCTTGATTTCCTTGGAGTGCCTAGCACAGTGCCATGTTATGCAGTATTTGCTGACTGAATGGATACATGAAGGAAGGAGTTCTCTCTTCTCCTGCAGGGCAGCCTTTGCAACTATTCTCCAGAGTTAAGACACCCTAAGTTCATCCTAAGGGCATCATTATGTTCTCTGTTTCTGTTCCTTTTTTTCTTAATTTTTGTCTTGGGAGATGCTGTAAAACAAATTTATCCTTTAAAAAACAACATCGTGACCCGCCTGGGCAACTTGGTGAGACCTCATCTCTACAATAAATCAAAAAAAAATTAGCCGGGAGTGGTAGCGCACGCCTGTAGTTCCAGCTACCTGGAAGGCTGAGGCGGAAGGATCGCTGGAGCCCAGCATCGAGGATGCAGTGCCAAGAGTGTGCCACTGCACTCCAGTCTTGGTGACGGAGTGAGACTCCAACTCAACAAACAAACAAACAAACAACAACAACAACAAAAAGGAAGTTTGCTCTCTAAATCGGACTCTACAAAAATGGAACACTTGGAGGAAAAAAATAGTAAGAGTTTTTTTAAAAGGAGAATGAAAGAAAAACAACTTGGCTGGAATGGTTGAGCCTCCACACTGACTAACCCCTCCCTGGATGAGCAGACACATGGTCACTGGCCATCAGATGACCCATGCTTCTCATGCTTCCTTGTGACACTTTCCCAACCTCTCTTTTAGTAACAGCTGCTACTACTACTTTATCTCATGGTTTTCCAACTTTTCAAAGCTAATGCAGACTCAGGGATGATGCAGGCTGGTATGGGAGTTGCTGGGTAAAGGGTGTTGTTAGAATCTCCCAGGGAACTTTCTTAATGTACCTTCACACCCTACCCTGAGACTCTCCTCTTTGAAACTGTATTCTAGGTGATTCTATTGGTAAACTCTCCCTCCATCCCACTCCCAACACTTCTGGTCCCATTGAAGAACAACTGATCAGCCGGGTTCGGTGGCTCAGCCTGTAATCCCGCGCCTTTGGGAGGCTGAGGTGAGTGGATTGCCTGAGCCCGCGGGTTCAAGACCTGCCTGGGCAGCGAGACCTCATCTCTACAATAAATCAAAAAAAAAAAAAAAAAAAATCAGCCGGGCATGGTAGCGCATGCCTGTAATTCCGGCTATTTGGAAGGCTGAGGCGGAAGGATCACCGGAGCCCAGCAGGTTGAGGCTGCGGTGGCCGGGAGTGGCCACTGCACTCCAGTCTGGGCGACAGAGTGAGACTCCAACGAAAAAAAAAAAAAAGAAAAACAACTGATCTGGTCCAATTCCATATTATGGATAAAGAAACTAAGGCTCAAGAAGAAATATGCCTTATCTGAGGGCACTTGGTCACTTGGAAATGGAACAGGGAGGGCAGAGATCCACGTCTCTCTCTGTTCAATGATGCCTCTATCAGCTATACAGGTTCTGCCCCAAACACAGTCTATTTGGCATCACTACCTCAGAAAAACTGGCCCTTTAAAGAAAAAAAAAAATGTAGCATTGTTCTAGGAAGGGCTGAGGCAAGGAGAGGCTGAGGTAATGAACAGTAAGTAGCAGAAGTGGTTCATTTCTGTTGACTTTATGGAAGCTGTGGGCGTCTGCTTCCTTGCCTGAATAAACTAGAATAAAGCATTCCCGGACAAGAAAAACAGGCCTCTCTTAGCTCTGGCTGTCAGGGCAGTGCTGTTCAAGGCCTGGTCCCATGGAGTGTCTGGTCTACTATAGGGCACTGAAGTTGCAAGAAACTAAATTACCACCTTGCAAGTCGGTTACTATGTCATGCATTAAAAATGACAACGACAACAAAACGACAAAAAGCTCTCTCAAACTCTTAGATGTTGCTATGGAACTGTTATTTCCTGAAGCTGAATTTCGGGAAAGACCATGCATTTTGCTTACCTAGAGGAATGCTAAGTTCACTGAACACATCCTCTGGTTCCCAGGAAGGCAAAGAAATGGGTTGTTTCAGCTCCACTTCAGTGTATTCTGGTGACTGCACATCCAGAGATTTCACTTCCATATACCTGGAGTTTTCTGCAAAACAGAGGCAAAGCAAAAAAAATAAAAATAAAAATAATGAAATATAACATGCCTTAAGGAGTTCCTGCAATTCTATTCCCTGCATGGTATGATTGGGAATTGTCCCTTGGACTGCTTAATCACATGAGGCTGAGGCAATGACTGCTAATTAGAACCAAAGCACTATCATTAACAGCTTTTTCCACTGCCAAAAGAATGCCACACACAACAAAACTTGGCAAATCTTTGCATTTGGCCTAGGGGGATGGGCTGCTGATGCTTTGGTTGGGATGATTCCCCCTCCTACACCACACCTCCCAACTCAGTATCACTCCATCTTTGCAGGGAGAGGAATCAGTGACAGGCAAAAATTTTGCTGACATCCACTTGGCAAAACAGGCAATGCCATTATTACCCCAAACTTGTCAAGCCATGTTATTAAATATGAACCCCAAACACCGGGGCAGCTAATGAGCCACTAACACTGGCACATGTTGAGACCTACTCTGCAAGATAAAAGGGGTTCAATCAGAGTGAGGTGAAGATTTCACTCCTCCTTTATTCCTGCCTTCTCTAGACGGAGCCTGGACTTCAGCGTTTCTCTAGCAACAAGAAGGCGGTTCACGGGAGGGTTTCTATGGAAACCCAGATCCGTGCAGGTGAAAAACAGTTAAGGTCAGCCTGACATGGAAGAAAACCCAAGCCTCCCAGTTACCGAACAGCTCATACTACCCACAAAGCTCTGAATTGAGATGTTCATTTTTAAACCCTTCTTTTATATTTTCTCCCTGACTCTTACTTCAACCTCTGGTACGCTGCAGGTTTTCTGTAAAGTGAACCTCTAGTTATTTTCATGGTGCGAATCTTAAGGGCTACTCTCCCTCCCTCCCTCCTTACCCCTTGATGGATCTTAGTTTCAACTTGGCAGAGAAGACAGGGCTTAGCCTATTTTAAACTCTCTCTTTCATGATGTCACAGTGCCAGGCATAGACACAACATCACCTCCAGGTGGAGGAGATTCTGAGACAAGTCTTGTATCCCTGTCAGACCCTGGAGAAAAACAGGTCTGAGGTAGTAAGAAGGGGAACAGTCATACCCCTGAGGGAGCCCCCAAAGGAGCCCCTGTTCCTTTCCCATCCACTCTATTCTTGCTTCCCACACTCCCGTCCCACCGCATAAATAATAGCTAGGTAGTCCTCTGCCATCCAGGCAACACAGTTATCTCCTTTTGCTGATAACTCAAGCTAAATTTAGTTGTCCAAGGCCATTGGACTTTTGTAAATGCCGAGAAGTCTGTCTTGAGACTGCTTCTCAGAAAACATGCGGCCTCCTATCTGATTTCCTTTACACTATATGGCTAAAAGCTCTAACAGTTTAATCAGGCTTTTAGAGGCTTGCCTCTATTACTAAGTTACTTTCTGCACCGGCTTTAATGCCAATTGAAACCTTTCTTATGTTCCTTCCAGCCTGCATATGCCCACCTTCGTCAGGTGAGCGGGGTCCAATCAACCCAACCACCCATGAGAAAAGGGGAGGTAGTTACCCGGGGTCAACACTCCTTGGCAAGCCTGGCTTTGGAGATCGCTTTCAGTAGGGGAGCTGGCTTTCTCCTCCAGGGGGCTGCCTTCACAAGCCCCATCTTCGGGAGTCCCCCTGGTCTTGCAATCATCAAGAAATGGGCTGGGTTGCCGGGCCCTCTCCTCTGCTGGCTGGGGGGAAGACATTTGCTGGACTGGAGGGGCCAGATGAACATCTGAGCTCTCCACTCCCTTTGCTTCCTTCTCGTAGCAATCCGAATCCTCCAGTGAGAGGCCTGTCTCGCTTTCAGCTGGCTTCTGCTCAGCATCCAGATTTAGGCCAGGCATTTCCACGTCCATGTCACTGGGATAGCTTGTGGAAGCAGAAGACAACTCTCTAGATGACTTGAGGCTGATTTCTACAGCCCCGTTCCCTACAGCCTTGATTCCCTCCTTGGAGAAATCCTTGGCTGAGTCCAGATCTAAGGTGGTCGTCACACAGGGACACATTTCTGGGCAGATTTTGTCTTTATGGTCAATGGGCACAATTTCTTCCAGCTCTGGGATGTCCGGTTCCATGATAAAATCTTCTTCTTCCCCCACTTCGTCCACTGTGACCAGCTCCTCCATGTTGGTGGGATACCAGCTCTCGCCCTCTGCCTCACTTCCACTCTCCCAATCTCGTTCCTATTCAAACGCAGAGTGGAGGTCAGAGGGTGGCTGAACACAATCAACCAGAAACACAAACCTTGACCACACAGACCTCTCAAGCCAGAAAGATCCTGAGCATTCTTCCCTCTACTTGGGAACAATTACTGTGAACCACTCAAGTCCATATCAGAGACTCATCATTAGGGTAATGTTCAAAACGCCACAGGATTTGGAATAAGCCCTAATGCTTGATCTACCATGTTTAAAATGATACAAAGAATTTCAACTCCTGGTAGATAACAGGCGTTCAATTAACTGTTTTTGAATGAATACATAAATGAACGATTAAGTTACAGACTCTCACTACTTACTGGAGCTATTTCCTTGCAAGTGGGGCATCACGAAATGCAACTATGATGAAGTCCCTCACAAAATTCCCCCAAGCACCCTCTCCCAGCAAGGGTACACATCCATAGCGAAGGCTCCTACTTGGCCCCTCCTAAAACTTTCCCCTTTCATGTCCCCAGCAGCCCATGGACTCCACAGACAGATTTAGATCAGCTTCTCTGCTGGCGATACCCATCTCTCCCGCCTCCCCTGACCGGAAAGGCACGCAGCTGGCCACATTCCAAGGACATTTCTTTTTGCTGTGGCAGCCCAGCCCAGGAGGACTGTAACTGGGTTTTTTTCATTTTAATTAAGTAAAATAATCTTTACAAGAAGATGTCTTGCTAATTCCAGGGTCTGGGTCTGCCGAGGTCAGGGCCCCAGCTTGAGTATGCAAAGCAGCGTCTCCCTACCCCACAAGGGACCTGTCTATTTTGGGAGTCTGGCTCTGTAGCCCGAGCCTTTTTTTGGGTACATGGTTTCTCTTAGGCACACAGCCAGGGTGCTGGAGAGTGAGGCACGGACCAGGCATGTGGGTCAAAACCTCCTCAATAAAATCTGTCTGAAGATCCCAGGCAAGGCCATTCCTCCAAGAAGTTCTAGGAGGACTGATTCATTCATGGAACCACCAGTGGAGTCTCAGACATTTTCCACACAGCAGGACATGGGTAGACAGGATAGAAACTCCTGTACTTTGGTCTCTGATGGCTAAAGTGCAAATGTGGCTGCCTTGCTGGAATCTGAAATGAACTTCACCTTTTCTGTCCGTGTGTTTTCCGGTTCAAAGGATCCTGCTTCTTTCTCCTGTCGGCCCTCTGACTGGGGGCTTTCTTCCATGCCCTCCTGTTCCTCTTTTCCAGCCTTACCAAAGGAAGAACAGAAAAAACCAAATCAACAGTGAGCAGTGAAGGGAAAAGAGAAAAAGAATCACATTGAGCACAAGTGACAGTTGTCAGAGGTGTTTCACATACATCATCATTCCTTTATCTTCCCAGAACCCCTTGGAAGCAGCTGTTGCTATCATCTTCATTTTCTAGATTAGAAAACTGAGGTTCAGAGAGGTTAAGTAAGTTGCTCATAGCCACGCACACAAATGGAGGCAGAGAAATGTCTTGAAGCTTGGCCTGATGTCTCCCAGGAACAGAAATCCCTGAAGACTAGGTATTTTGTGTTGTGAGGATGAGTAGAAAAAACCAAACTTGAACTGATTCAGGAAGGCCAAGACTCTGGGGTTAACCATCATGGTGACATTTCCCCAATAGACCTGTCTTGGCCATAAAAAAAAAAAAAAAATCATTCAGGCCACTCATGGGGAGGAAGAGAGTTACCACCCAGTCAGTGCCCTCTCCTCCTTTCCTTTGCCCTCTGTTCTAGAGCTGTAGCCCAAATTAGCACTTTCCTCCTTGCTTTTATTCCCTCTCCTAAATGAGGGCCCTCGTGATAGTGCCTGTGTCTGTGGAACTGAGTAACTTAAAGCAGGTATCCAATTTGAGAAGTAGAGCCTCTAACCAACATTTTTTTTTTTTTTTGAGTTGGAGTCTCACTGTCGCCCAGACTGGAGTGCAGTGGC